CTTTCATTGAATACAACACTGAATATTGTGGGCAAAAACTTATAGGATGAAAAATGTTCCTTGGCATAACATTATGGTTATTTCAAAGTTTGTAACAATTTAAGAAAATGAGAATTATTGAGTATGAAGAAGAAGATGAGTGTTTCAGAATCTGCTAAGCAAAACTTCAAATTTTAGTATTTTTATTGCATTGTAAATTACACAGCTCAGTCTCTTACTAGAAATAAGAAATGAACTGTTTACAGAAGTTAATGTTCTTCGTGAACTTATTCCTTTTGAAGTTGAAACAACTGGGGTGTTAAGATTATACATTAACCAAAAAGATTAAAGTCTTTGATAACACTACCCATAAATGTTAAAGTGATTTTGACAAAGTGGTTGATGACTTCACTGGATGAAATCAAAAAATAACTTTGTATAGGGAAACTATAAGTGCAAGGTACAAGTTATCAAACTCAAATTAGGGTATTCACATGATAAGGTTCAAATAGTGATGAAAAACTCTACATTTCATATGAAAATGTTGATCATTTAAAGAACAAAGTATTTTGAGCTTTTAAACAATATGAAAAAAATACAATAAAGTTACCTATACCAAATTCGGCATTTGTGAAGGATTCACTCATTTATAATCAATGTAGAATGTTTAATCATTTACCTAATAATAATTTTCCCTAAATAAACAATCATGATCATTTCAAGAAGGATGTTATAGTCTGCAAGAATTCTGTAATTGATTGAATAATTTATTATACAGCATAATATCACATGTAATTTTTTAACAAATTTGGCACTTTTGAACTATATCGCAAGTAACTTTCATCATATGAAAAGCTGAAATTATTTTCCTGGCAAACCGGTTCTGAAGTATTTGAAGTCTAATTTTCACTAGTTATTTTATTTTCACGACCGGTTTCGGGTTTTATCCCATTATCAAGTATAAAAACTAAAATTAGTAAGTGGAAATTAGACAAACGTGTTTTCACCCTTGAAAGACTCATAAAAATATAATAACTAGTCGTCGGCCTAATTGTAAAACCATGTAACTCCACGAAAATCAATTTCGAGTTTATTATATCAAATTGTTGTAGAAAATGCTCTACACCAATGATATAAACCTCGTACCTCCAAAAAATTCGTTGAATTTAATAAAAAGGAATTTCCAAACCACGTATCTTTTGTTAGGGTTTTTTGTTATTTCCAACCCACTAACTCCTAGTTGTCCATGTGTTAGTAATAGGCATGTCAACAGTGCTCTACCAAGTGGTTTTTTTATTACATATTCAGTTTTTTAACAATCGTGGTTGAATACACTGACGAAGTAAGTACCGTTTTTTTATATTTTTCAAATAGAAAAGTGATTTTCATATTGTGAATAGTTGAATAATATGAATTAATATGAATTGGAGTTATGCGGTTTGACTAAATCAGAGATTATAGGTTAGAAAACACTGTATTGGNCTGGTGTGTGACAGATTATTTTCATATTTCCATACAACAGTGTTTGATTTCGTAAGAAACCATAGAGGAAGTGTCAAATGAGAAAGTTTTATTGCTCTCCTGTAAAATAGGCAAAATGGCAGTTACGTGGTTTTACAATTAGGCCGACGTAGTGGAAATTAGGCAAAAGTGTTTTCATTCATTTCATTAAAGTGAATATTAATTTTCAGAAAATAAACAAGTCATCAATTTCACAAACTGCTGATTGCTTTTCTGCCTGCCTGTTTCTTCAATTTTTTTTACTGAGAAAATTTTCTGGTTATATATTTTACTGTCCAATAAACAATTTCTGTCAGATTCACACGAAATGTAGACATTATTTCTTTATGGTGAACAATTTTATTTCGATAATTAAATGTCAAGTATGTAACAATTTCTGTAACATTCAAATGTTCCAAAGGCGATTTGGTATATCTGAAATGATCTAAGTCTTGAGTAGATGTTATATAATCTGTTTTCAACTAGTAGAATGTATGCAGTTTGAAATCCTGATTCAAAGAATGTAGAACCCGAAATAAAAAGTATAAAGCACAAGAAATTAGTAAAACGTGAAAGTTATAGAATGAAAGTTTGTTCGGAACTTCTCAAAATCTTCACTTGAGTGAGGACCTCATTCCCATAGAATTCTATCATATGAAGATATATAAAGGGATGAGTTTACTACGACACTAGAGAAAAAATAGAAACAGATTTTTTTCACGTGATTACATGTTAAACATTAATTGAAATTCGAAAAGAAATTGAATATCTAATTTATACATAGCTCAAAATAGAAGGTTGTTTGAACATCATCTATGAATTTAAATTAATTCGAATTGTTTTGGTTCCTTTCCAGCATTGTATAAACAATCATTATTGTTTGGATCCAACGACATTTTCACTATTTTTTTTTGTATTATATAGGAATGTTATTTGTAATATATTTACTTTTTTTGTCGATACTTTTTTGTATGCTCCTTATATTTCCCATATTGTATGACATATACCATATTCTTCTATTGTTACTCTAATTAATGAATCTATTTTATCAATAGAAATCAAGTAGTGAATTATTTTTTCTATTTTGAACAGACAGCTATTGTAGATCTACCTATTATGGTTACACCTCGTACATATGACATAGTTTCAGACAGTATAAAAAACTTCCAGTCAGTGCCATTTTCCCATTTTGGTTTGAGATTTTTTCATATGGTGACTAAATAATATTCTTCCTTCATCTATGTGTACCCATGGTTTTATATTTATTATATCGAGTATAATTTTTTTAGGAAGAATGCGATATTCCTCAGTTTGCCTCAGCGGGACTTCCAGTCTTATCACATATTATGATAGGGTTAGAAAGTTGTTCCCATCAAGACGTGGACTTTATAGCAATGTGTGTTTTGAATATGATGATGGGAGGAGGAGGTTCTTTCAGTGCTGGTGGGCCTGGCAAAGGAATGTATACTCGGTTATACACAAATGTATTGAATAGGTAGGTAAAATCGGATTTCAATGCTATAATAACAAAATACTAGCAATAATGCGTATTACTGTAATGAAAACGAACACTCTGAATATTTTTAGGTGAGTTACGAATGCATCCATGATGTGATGCATGTTTTGTGCTCCGGTATCAATTTTATTCAGTGTTGGTGAATAATCTATTATGAAAACTAAGTATTTGAGTAAGATAAGATGCTTTAACTTCATTATATTTCATTCATCTTTCTCTTACACGAAGGTTTCATACATGCAGTCGAGCTACCGTAAAATTAATTGAGTGAGTGTTGGATATATAATAATAATAATGGTAATAAATATCTTTATTTCTGAAGAATAATCGCAAAAAGATACAAAAACAGAAATAACGTCATCAGTAAGATAGATTTTCGCATCTGAGTAAACTGCTGCAAAGTAGTCAGTGAACAAGTAAGCAATATCTTGACCGGAGTTTACGTGAGGGTTGTTAAAATGCATTTCATTAGGTATAGAACCTGAGTATGAGAGTCTTTATTTCGGAGGAGAACCAAATGGGAAATTTTGTTGAAGAATGTTTCTTCTTGGGAAAAAAGATGTCAAAAACAGAATAGAGTATGCCGTAACAGTTATTTATGTATCAAGGGCGTAAAATAGGCTTTTATGGACCGCAGTGTAAAAGCAAATAACGCCCGAAATACATACAACATTTTATGCACGACCAGTATATTTGGTGTCATATCTAGAACACAATAGAAATACATCAAGGTTGCCGTGAGGCTGTATATTCATATCATATCGGAAACAGAATAAATCAAGAAGTGATGGAATTAATATTACCATAGCAACTCAGTAAGTTTTTCGAAATAATATTATATAGGCTACTTGCCATATTTGCTGTCAATTTTTGTGATCACAGATAATTTATTAGTGATTTTGAAATGGATTCAAGCGACGAAGAAAGTGTGAATTGTACTCCACAGAAATAAGTAAAGCAGCTGAGAATGCGAAATTGAGTTTATTGCCAAGTAAATCCAAGAAAATATATGACAGTGTATGAAGAATTTGTGAGGCGGTGCAACGGGAATAATGATAAAAATAAGAACTACACAGAGAGTGTATTTCCTGCCTATTTTCTGGAAAAATCTAAATTCTTCCATGTGGTCATATCATTCCATGCTGAAAGCTACTTTAAATGTACATGATAGTAAAGATATCAGTAGATATGCAAGATTGGTAGCATTTTATGAGTTACCTATAAGTACACTCCTGTATAATTCAGATATATGTTTCAATAATTTTGCTGATATTGAAACCATCGGAATATAGATTTCTATCGATATGAGATTGAGATTAACTTTAGCGCCTGCTCAACGATTTTATCGTTGTGTCAGTGTCAGAGAGGCATCCATCTATAAGGTTTTTTAATAAATTATCACAGAGACTTGAAATGTTAGAGCCAGAAAAAATTCAAACAGGTGTCAAAGAGCTTTTGATCAAGTTAGAACCTCATTCACTTCTGGAAAATCTAAATAAGTTATAAACCTTTATGTAGAAATTGTGTGACGTTTCATTTTATGTTTGGACTTCGTTGTTGGAAATGTGGCTGAAGATTTCCTTGACTTTGGTTAGATCAGTTAGTTTGGAATATCCTTTGCTCTCTGGCAAGTTAAAGATCATTATGTTATCTATTGCCTCTACATTGACGTTTCTAAATCTCATTTTCAAGAAACACTGAGATTTTCATTAAACAGTTTTACAAAAACCGCAATACGTGTTTCGCTATACAATAGCTTATTTAGTCGTGTAAAGACACACATAAGTACATATAACTATAATCAAATTTCACTTTTTACTTGTTGAAATGGAAAAAAAGCAAGAGCTCTTTGCTGTGTACACTTCACTTTCCTTAATGTTGATCCAAACTATTCAAAAGAACAGCACAAAAAAAGAAATATTCTCAGATTTATTATTCTATGCACGATTTTCAATATATTTTATTTTCAGATATCATTGGATGTATAGTGCAACTGCTTACAACCATGCTTATTCAGATAGTGGCCTGTTTTGTATTCATGCAAGTTCACCGCCCACTCATGTTCGTGATATGGTGGAAGTAATTGTAAAAGAATTAGTTGCCATGGCAGGAAATGTCACCGACCAGGAATTACAGGTATTTCCATTACCTTCATACCTTCCTCAAAACAAATCTACAACACTCATACCTTCCTACACTTTTGTAACTATTAAAGGGACAACTATCTGTTGTCATCCTTATTTATGAATAAAAACAGATTGCTATCTACTCTTAAAGAAATTGGATGTTTTATATGTGAACATGTGTGAAGACTATTTTTATGTCGCTTGTTTCAATTAGTTTGAATAACCTTGTGAAGATTTTGTTGGAAAATAAAATAAATAACTGGGACAAATAATAGCAGATGACATAATCATTGCCAAATAACAATAGGGAATTTGCATAAAAATTTAATCTCGAAAATTACATTGAGAATCAAAATATATCATTGTAATAAAACCTTTATTACCAAAAAAACTATTANTAGAGGATGTATGTGTAATAAAAACACCCTTTGTACAGAGGAACTTGCTCCCCAGTTTAAAATTCCGTATCTCATATGAGAATGGAAGTGGGCAAAGTATAAAGACAGAAGGATATATTCACTGCAATGACTCGACATAAACTTGAGTGCATAACATATTTTTATAAGTTTGCCGCAGACAGCATCAATATGAGAAATCCATGAGAGCTTTGAATCAAAAGTAATGCCTAGCATTTTGATAGATTCAGAAGAAGACACGACGTTATTGGTATTTTCAAACAACAAAAGCTGGTGGTGTTCCCGACTATTTGAACAAAACATCAAGGCATTATTCTTTGATTTATTAATTATTAAATGGTTTTTGTCTGACCATGTTATCACCTTAGCATAGGTAGTCTCAGCCAATAATTTTAATGATACTAAATCTTCTTCTATAATTAAAATATTTGTGTCGTCTGCATAACATGTTGCAATAATTTTATTGTGTATAGTATGACGTCATGACAGTTCGCGCCGTTAAACGCTTGTTTGAATTGGTTTTTCAACGCAAGAAACTTTTTATATTTTTTTAAAGCTGACTACTGATATTTCACTGCTCATATTTTGCAGTAGTTAATAGTTATCATAGCAGAACACATTTACGATGTAAAAAATCTGCAAGTTCCCTATTGTTATGCCTTCTACAAGATAAAATTGCACTCCTGGAAGAAAAACTGGTCTTACTTACTTTTCTACCAAAATTAACAATACCAGTAACAAAACCAAAGAAACGTGGAATATATTATAGTATACAGCGAGTTGGGAAGTAAAAAAAAGATTGTACTGAGTTGGTCTAGAAATGCATCTGCTTCAGTGACCTCAATTTTCGAAAATCTGTGACTAGCCTAAACCGTTGATTGCCATTCGAATCAGGTTTTTTTGGGATTCTGAGGATAGGATTGTTAAAAGAAGAATTACTTGATTCAATGAAATAGGGGGAAAAATCACAAATAAAGTCAGGTAAGATGTTACAAAAATTGATGTTGCGTCGGAACTTGAATTGGAGAATTGGAGGCTTGTAGAGTTGCACTAACTGCTAATCCAAGGATAACCAGTAAAGGGATGATCCATTGGCTAAGTATACTGTCTGGACTTAGGAAATACTGCAATCTTTAGGTGGTACAGCGAGTATTTTCCTTCCAAACAAATAGATTCAGCAGATCAAGATTGTGCAGATCTCGTATGTTCTCCTCGATGTATATAATTTATGATTTTTAATTTTGGGGAAGCACTAACAGAAAATTTTCTTCTTTTCTGCTGATGAAAATCTCACACCCCTCTCACCAAATTTATGTTGGGGAAATAGGGGGTTTTCAGTCGAAACACCATAGTGGTCCAATATTTATTTGTTTATTTATTTATTAATTCCATCAATTGCATAAATTACAGTATGTGTATGAAATTCAAAAAAGGTATATATCATGGTTATAGGCCTCGAGCTTAAGGATATAGGTCATAAAATTGACACATTGATAAATCGACCAGAAGAAAATAAAATATGAAAATTGTAAAAACTCCAAGAGTCCCTAAATTCCCGGGAATTGAATTCTAGAATTTGACGCCTTGATGTGTAATAGTCTGCTGACCAGCGGAAATCTTCATAGCAGCTGTCCGTGATTGTTGTCTATTTCTGGTAATGTAGTTATGGACTTGTAGATTCGATGTAAAGTGAATGTTTGAATGGATATTACGCAGCTGGGTGCTAAATAAGTACAGGTTTGAAATATGTACAGTGAGTGTACATCCAATCACTAAGAATTGGACAGAATAATTAAGATTCATGTATACCCCCTCAAACATTGATTGGAATAAATTGACAGAAACAGTAAAACATTTTTTTTTTTTCTAAAAGAACAAGTGAGAATTTTTGGAAAATAATAGAATCAGCAATATTTATTAAAAGTTATTATAAAACTTATGTGGTATGACTGTATATCACGGAAAATTCAAATTAGTATTATCGAAATGAAAATAAGTGAATCATACTGTTGCAATTGTTTCTATTGTTAATATTTGTATGATATGTTCATTGTGAATTCAACATTGTTCATAATTCTGTTTGTTTGTACCAAGCAGCAGATGTGCTACATGATTATAAGCTTTATAATATTGTTGAAAGGTATGCTTCAACATAATTGAAAAATATATACTTAGAATAAACAAAACAAATTATGTTTTCTGAATTTCAGAGAGCCAAAACACAGTTGCAGTCTATGTTACTAATGAATTTGGAATCAAGACCAGTAATGTTTGAAGACATTGGACGCCAAGTTCTGGCTTCAGGTCATAGAAAGCGACCTAAATATTTCATCGATGAAATCGGTATGTTGTTTGTTTCTCAACACTAACATTTTGATTTTCTGAATAATTTTGAAAGATAATTTTTTTATGGAGGAGTTAATGTTTATTGATGTTTTTTGGGTTTCCGAAAACTCATGAATACAACAAATTACTGACTAATTGAATACTGTAAAGGTTTATATTATGCAGTAACTTTTCAGGGTGAACTTTTCAGTTGCTCTTTATTACATTTGAGCAGATTTTCTGTCGATCTATATTAATCTATTTTTCAGATTGTGGAAAATTAGAAACCCAAATGACACCAAAAAACATATTTTCAATTACACCCAACNGTTCAGCAATGAATATTTTAAGTTTATAATTTAATTATATACAAATAGGTATTTCCTGTTTATTAATTTTTGAAATATCATGACCACCACAATGATGACAAAATTCTGTTTGCTTTGTCTTCTGTTCAACGTGTGGGGTGTTAGATAAGACACTTATGAATAATATGAATTACTTGAAATGGATGCTTAGTCGTTTAATAATAGTTATGTAAGTACAACTACATACTACATTATTATGAATGTGTTGAGACATAGACAGACATGTTTTCACTAATATGGAAATCTGCCTAGTCATTGACATTTCTGACATCTACATTGAGGCTAATTCACATTATATCAAACATTGTCCAGTTTGTTTTTTATAAGTCATAAGGGAAAACTTAATAGCGATAATAATCAGTTTATTAGGCTATTGTCACTAGAAAATGACACCCTGTATACGAGAGTGCACCTTCAATTTTGGAAAAATATCATTTTTTCAAATATGACCACTACTGTGATGATGAAATTCTGTTTGCATTTTATTCCAGATTGTTATTATAGCAACGATATTTATTAATATTTTTTGAACTGAATATCAATGGAGCGCAGACCTCATTAAGTTCTAAGCACAAAGGTTAAAAAAATTCAGAACCTTTGTGCTTCGTGAAAACATAACCTCAACTTTCAATAGTACGATAAAATGAGCAATCTTTTTTGTTTAGGATAAAATTCTTTTGAAAATGTTCTGATTTTTTTTTCCTGTTATTCTTTAAAAAAATCGACATTAATTTATAATAAAGATATATAATAATTGAAATATGTCCCAAACAAACTGTCAAAGATATGATAAAATGTTATTATATAAAAATGTTTATTTTTCTTGGAATACTCTGCAAAATAAGCATTTCTAAATAGGAGTTTTCATCTATGGTATGAAAAAAATGCTAATTGAACAAAGAATCATATTTTCAATCCCGTCGTTCCTTCCTACATCCGATGGACTGTAATGCACGCCCCTTTGGATCTAGGGTTCAGGGGTGGTTTACTTTTCAATAATCACATACTATTAGATGTTTGATCAAGGGAAAACTCAATATCGATAATGATTAGTTTATTAGGCTATTGTCACTAGAAAATGACATCCTGTATACTAGAGTTCACCGGAATCGAATTCAGCCTTGACAAAAGCAAGGTCCTACCAAAGTTATACAGTGCCTTTACTTTCTTCTAATTCATATGATATACCCAACACTCGAAGGAAAAAATTAAGTGAATTGAATGAGAAAAACTCAAAATTTAATTGTCTCACTGATTATAAAATTTCAATTATTTGAAACTGATTATATTCAAACGACGATGAGAGACCAATATACCTCCCAAAAAACATTGGTGTGACCAAATATACAACACGCCCAATATCAGTAGTGGAAATAAGTACATTAAATTGAAAGAAAAACAAAGTTCACCTTGAAGTGGTTTTGACTCTTCACAGGCATATTTTTTTAAATATTATGACCCAATATTTTGTCTGTCCTATTCTCACTCATATGTTATGATGGAAAAAGAAATCTAAGACTAGCTAATTCCTCAATTGGCTTTTCAGTACCAGATGACGCAAATTAGAATGATATTCGGGTCCAATTGAGAGTCTAAAGTACAGTTTGGGTGTTGTTTGTTTTCAACTCTAAGATTCAATTTTTATTTATCTTGAGCATTTGCTTTATTCCAAAGCCAGTAATATCAAGTTTCAGCTGATGACCTTCAGAACCTTAGCATCTGGGAATTTTTTTTTTGAGAGATAACTGAATCATTGATTTCTCATCAAGTCTACGGTTAATATTCAGGATAGCCAAAATGTATACAGTGGTGTTATATAAGGGCTAATGTAATCAATAGTTTGAAAATTTCCTTATAGGACGACACTGCAGTAACGTTAGTTACAAATAAAAGTGGTTAAAAACAGAGAAAGTTTCAATAATCTTTTTTTTTATATATACAGGATGTTACAGGACTTTATTTGAGAAATTTTTTAAATTATACGTTAGACCCACCTGCAATCACCATAATTGTTACCGAATTACAATAATGATAATAATAATAATTTTGGTCACATGAACTTCTGGACATTCAAAAAATGTACTGATGATTTGTAAGTTGAAAAATTCTTCCAATCTCTAGACCCTCAAATAAGATGGAGTTACCATAATTCAAAGTACTCTCCTTTTGGTCGGTCGGTGGCCAGGCGGTTCGACGCCGGTGCTTTGTTCACTCACTCGAATTGACTGCCGTGTTGGTCGGTGGTTCAAGCCCTAGTTTGAATGATCGATTTTCACTTGCTATCGTCCAACTCGTGTTAGGAATAACACGTTTGTGTTAGGAATCCACACATCTTTGGTAACATATTATTTTGTACTTGATTGCTTTCCTTATTTTCCTAAATTTTTTTTGTATAAGGAATAAGCAGTAGAAAGTTAATATTTTGTTTTGGAATATTGGGAGTCATCATGCCTGGGATACAAACAATGTGAATGTTTCGGATATGTGTTATTCAAATTCAATTACATTTATATTTTAAATGTCATGAAGCAGTGACCATAATGGAATAGATTATTATTTTATTTACCGAAGGTTAAGCTTTCTGGGTCCTGTTTTCGAAGCTCCGATACATTCAGGATGGCGCTTCAGCTTCATCAACCAATAACCATCAGGATCATTTGGTCTGAGAATCATGTGCCCCAGGCAGACAATGATTCAAGAATGACAGCCGTCTGCATTTGTCTGACCAAGATTTCTGCCTTAGTGCGGCAAGCTAGCATGATCTTGAGATTCGAGAGTAGAGAGGACATCATTCCACCAAGCACTCCCAATATCTTTTCTGACGATATTTGTCTCGCCAGGAGCTGAAAACTTCACGACAAATATCGTCTTGCTCTGATGGTCGAGAAGAACTATATCAATTATTAGCTTGCGCGAGCCTGAGGGTGAGGAACGAGTAGTTCCAATAAATGTGTCACTTTTCATTCCTCACAACGGATTCAATATCCCCCGAAGCATAGGGCAACACCGGTGTCTCGTCAATACCGTAAGAGTGCCGTAAGTGGTAATAAAGCAGTTTCAGAGCTGCGTTATGTCTATGAATATAGGCCGAGACCGCATATGCTGGATATGCCGACAGCAAATGCATTAGGGTCTCTGACGCCTCGCGGCATGCCCTGCACCTTGGGTCAGGAACCTCTGAACTCATCACGCGACCGCGGTAGACTAAGGTGTTGACGATACCATCCTAGCAGCCCACTAGACCTGAGAATATCAAAGGTCAGGCACTTTGATAAGCAGAGGTCTTCAATGTGATCTCTGCGATTTTTTTATGACCCTTTTGCTGGACGGTCTCCAACTCGGTGACATAGTTGTAATCACCTTGCTCAGTCAAAAACTATACCGAGTTCATCATCATATTATTATTATCATCATTATTGTGGTTTCTCTGCATATCAATATGGTCGTCTGGTTTTCTAGTCCATTAATTTAATATTTCATCACAGTCCGTTTGGACTGTGAGAGATTAGATTTGTGTGATGAGATTAGATTTGGTTTTCACATAATATAATTGTTTAGTGATTATATTTCGCGATTACCAAAAATTAAAATACCGATTCAAGCTTTGGATCGTTCAGGTTCAGAAAAACTAAATAAAGGTGGTTAGAAAAATCCACTTGATAAGGTGTTGACAGTTGAGTTGAAATGTTCCCCCAAATTCATTTTGTTCAATAATAACAGAAAAATAAATGTGTGTGGCTCACCAGTAAACTAGGTAAGAGGGCTGCGTGCCTCAAAAAATATACTTGAATAGAGGACTGATGGTCGAGTGAAAACAACACTTCCAATTATTTTGTTCGCTCATCACAGTGAAAAAAATATTATTAGTGTGACTCACCAATGAAATAGGAGGAGGCCGCGTGCCACAACGAAAAAAAATGCAGATGAATAGAGAACTGATACATGAGTGAGAATACCATTTCAAATCAATTTGTGCGCCCTTCAAAGTGACAGAAAAAAAAACAATTTGTATGGCTTACTAATAAAGTAGGCGTTGCGGTCGCGTGCCACACAAAAAAAATACAGGTGAATAGTGAACTGATAGTGAAGTGACAAAAAAAAACGTGTGTGTGTGGCCCAAGGAGAAGCTCTATCCTCGCTGTATAAGAGGATAGTCTTGCATTGGACAGTCAGCTTGGTCATTTAAATGTTGCAGATATTTCAGAACACAGCTCTCAATCTCAATAAAGCCTATTTTTCCCTGTATCTTATCCCAAGTGTAACAGTTTACTGTTTTGTCGCCCTTCAGCTCGGCCATTGTTAAATTGTGAACGGCTAGCTTTCAAATGTAGGACTCCCCCTGCGGACTTGACAGCACTACCTGTAGATCGCATCTTTATACAAAAAATTTGGAAATCTTCCAAAGAAATAAAGAAAGAAATCAATTTAAAAATAAGATGTGTGGATCATGCAATGTAAATGCTTATATAAAAGTAATTTTATATAAAGGTAATGGTTTCAAAAGTATTGTTTCGTGTAATTCAATGTTTATACGAAAGTAGTTTTGTTTCGAAAGGGCTTTTTTTGCCTGAAAGTTACTTCTTTGCACGATTTACACATCTTTGTGAAGTTTATTTTGAAATTGATTGCTTTCTTTTTTTCTTTGGAAGA